GGGGCTGACCCCGCCGCAGGGAGATGGGGGTGCTGGGGGCTGGGCCCCGCTGGCGGGCGGCACCAGGGCTCTCCGGGGACCAGCGGCCCAGCGCTGCGGGTAGAGTGGAGCCACGGACCCAGTAGAGCGGCGAGCGCCGGCCTCCCCTTCACACTGCAGGCAGAGCCGGGCTGGAGGGGCTGCGTGCGCACGGGCGAGGGCCAGGCCGTGGCGCTGACACCCCACAACCCCAAACCTCCGTGCATCGCCACTGCCCCGCCTGGACCCTGACCCCTGTCCCGCTGTCCCCTTCCTGCTCAGCGGTGGAAGGCACGAGCGTGGGCTGTCCAGGGGGGTGGACAGGTGGCCACGCTGCCGGGGGTCGAGCCGGGGCTGGACACTCCCTGCTGGCCACGAGCCAGTGGCCCCTCGGCTTCATCTTACGAGGCTTAACGGGCGCCTGACGTGGGGGCGCAGGGCCGTGTCCTGCTCAGGCCAGCAAGGAGTACCCCTCTTCCTTGTGTGTTTGGGGCAAGGATGTCCGGGGGGGGGGGGCGGCAGGACAGCCAGTGGGCCAGGAGCCCACTGGGAGTCTGGACGTGTTGAACCCTAGGGCAGCTGTGGGGTGAGGGCCGGAGTGGGGTGCCGCCTGCGCCCCCCAAGTCTCCTTGCTGATTTGGGGAGCCCGTGTCCCCGGCACGCGCTGAGGGGTGGCCTTCTCTTGCCGCTTTTCTGCCTCGAGTGACCTTCCCTTGTCCCCAGGGACCCGTGCCCCACCGTCCCCCGGGGATTGTCTGCGATCCTCAAGCTCCTCGGGAAGGAAACAGGCGCAGAGTGAGCCGGCCGGCCTGTGCCCAGGGGGCCAGCCTGTGCCCAGGGGGCCGGCCTGTGCCCGGGGGGCCGGCCTGTGCCCGGGGGGCCAGCGGGAGGGTCACCCCCCCAGGCTGTGGCAAGGCGAGGCCGCCTGGGTGTCGGGGCGCCGGTGGGTGACTGCAGAGGCCAACACCCGTGCCGGACGCGGCACCCCCGCAGTGAGTGTGGTCAGTCGCCCCCGGGCGCAGTGGCTCTCCACCGGTCCATGCCACGCGGTGTCTGGACTAGTGACCGGCGCGAGATTCGGGAGAACAAGCAGCGACTGTGACCAGCACAAAGTAGGGGCTGGAGCCCCCGTGCAGTCCCCGGCCGCGGCCCGGGACGCCCTCCAAGGCCCTCGCAGGCCCACCCTCCCGGCGGCCAGGGGCAGGGGTCCTCGGCAGGCGGACGGGG